TTGTGTATGTAGAAATTTTTGAAACGGTGTATCTTTGGGTATGTGTATTTTCACCAAAAAGAAAAGGTTGAGAATTTAGAGGGTTAATATGTTGTAGGGTTGTTAACCAATGTCATAGAACAACACGTATACTACTGTTTCATGAGAAACTATTTGTTCTGTAAGCCTTCACCTGAAGTACAATAAAATATATATATATATATAAAAAGAATTCCCTTTCATTTTTGACAACTTGCAGTTTTCCTGGACTTGTACTTCATACATTCCACATTCCAATTATTAATGCATAGTGCTCTTGATAGTTGCATACAGTGAACTTGTGACTCAGTTCATTGCCTGATTTTAGTTTCATTTCCTCACCAGGAGCAGCTCCAGTTCTGTACCTCCTCCATTCTTACTGTGAGTCAGTTTATGTGGCTATAAAATATCACTCAACTGTGCAGACTGTTGACTAAAAATTCGTGCTCACCAAACTCAACTTTCTAAGCTGCTGACTAAATTTGAATTGTGTAAATATCTACAGCATTTTTCTAAACCTCAAGTCCTCCCTCACTCTTCACATATATTTTCCTCCTATTTCACAGAGAAAAATACAAGTAATAAAATAAGAACTCCTTTAAATTCCTGCCACAGAATCTATAAATTTATGCTACATAGAATCATTTCTTTCCTTTCTTTCTGTCAAAAATGAAAGGGATTTTTCCCTTCCAGTTTTAGGTTTGCCTTTATCTATGTGGTAGTGATTCCATTCCTTCTGGACACCTCAGCAACTTTGCTCTCTTATTATCATTTTCTGTACTGTAAATCCAACAACTACTTCACTACACCATTCCATCAGCAGTAAACATACACTTAGGGCTTTTCTTTTTAAAAGTAACAACTCATTTATCATTTGCCTTCATAAATCTCTGGAAACAGCCATCTCTCTCTCTCATCCTTTAAAGCTAAATTTCTTTAGATAGAGACTACATTCCTGCTTCTACTTTTTTATCTCTAGTGTACTTGATAGCTCACTTAAAGGAAGCCTTCCACCACAAAGCACCATTGACATCCCTGTAGACAGGGACATCAACAATTTTTCCCCCTTATTTCTAGTGAATCATTTAACATCTTAGTTTAATTTTCTTCAAGACAGTATTTAATTATTGATCAATTTCTCCTTTTTGATGTGGGTTCTATATTAAAGCTGGCTCCTAATTCATTATTGCCTTTCTGAGAAATTCTTCACCCATTTTTGCATTGGTGCCATTCCACCCCCTTTTTTTTTTAAATTATGGTGAAAATATACATAACAAAGCATCTAATTCAATAATTTTTACATGTATACTTCAGTGACATTGATTGTACTCTTCAATTGTGAAACCATTCTCCCTATCCTTTTCCAAATTATTCCACAATCATTAACACAAACTCAATGCCCCCTAAAAACCAAAAAAACCTATTGTGGTTGAGTTGATCCTGACTTATAAGGACCCTATAGGACAGAGTAGAACTGCCCCATCTGGCTTCCAAGGCTATAAATCTTTATGGAAGCAGACTGCCACATCTTCCTCCCGGTGAGCAGCTGGACCGCTGAACTTTTGGTTAGCAGCCCAGCACTTAACCACTGCTCCACCAGGGCTCCTTCAATGCCCAGTAAACCAAACCAAACTCATTGCCGTGGAGTCAGTTCTGACTCATAGCGACCCCTAGCAGTGGTTAAAGGACTTGGCTACTGAAACATGGGTGGTTCAACCCCACCTGTGGCTCTGGGTGAGAAGGATGTGGCAGTTTGCTTCCTTAAAGATTTACAGCCTGGAAAACCCTATGGACCAGTTCTACTCTGTCCTATAGGGTCAATATATAAGTCAGAATTGACTGGAAGGCAAAGGGTTTGGTTTGGTTTATCTTGGTTATGATGGACCTCTGTGCAGAATTTTTTCGCTTGTCCCTGATTGAACATACTGAAACTCACGAAATGAACTCTAAAGGTTCAGGCTACCTGCATTTAAACTTCAAGATAATGATTATTACGTTGAGTTCTGAATGGACACACTTTGAGTCTGAATGACTGTACAGAGTGATATATCCTTTTGGATCTGTAGCCTTTGAGAGCATCTGATATATTTTTAGCCTCTGGTAGGCTGCTGATCTTCATGAAGTCTGAAATGTTTCCAAACATTTCGCCGATCAGTTGAAGACAACATGCCCCAGAAATCTCCGAAAAACTCCTTTAAGTAGGAGCGAAGGATTCCCCTGCCTTTGGAGACAAAACAACAAACAACCCACTGACATGGAGTGGATTCCAACTCATAGCAACCCTACAGGACAGAGTAGAACTGCCCCATAGGGTTTCCAAAGAGCTGATGGCGGATTCGAACTGCTGACTTTTGGTTAGCAGCTGAGCTCTTAACCACTGTGCCAGCTGAGCCCTGTCATTGGAGACAGAGGACACCATGTCCCAGGGCTCTTAAAGTTGCCTTTAGGGTTCTGTGGAGCCCTGGTGGCACAGTGGTTAAGAGCTTGGCTGCTTACCAAAAGGTCGGCAGTTCCAATCCACCAGCCGCTCCTTGGAAATCCTATGCGGCAGTTCTACTCTTCCCATAGGGTCGCGATGAGTCGGAATCGACTCCAAGGCAATGGGTTAAGGTCGCTGTACCTGCAGGCAGGCCTGCGGAGGCGTCGCACTTCTTCCTCGACTCTACAACTGTAGAAACTACACTACCCAGAAAGCTCTGCGCGGAGTGGCGGCAGCTTTGAGCCAATGAAAGCCCAGAAGAGAGGCATGTCCTCTCGCGCGTTAGGGCGGAACATCCGGCGTCTTCTTCATCGCGGTCATTTTGGTTGTTCTCAGATGTGTTTACCGGAGTAGAGGCTACGGGTATGTCGGGTGCGGACCGGGCAAGCGTGAGAGGAGGCGTTGTCATCAATGCACAGAGACGTTTGTGAGGCTCGACTGTGGCGTCGCCCAGTGACCGCGCCAGGACCGGGCTGGGGGCTGCCTTCACCAGGTCCCACCCCTTTCGCCCGCCGCTCCGCCCACAGACTTCGATGGCGGCCGCCGCGCCGAAAGACCTGGCTCAGGTAAATTCTACGTTCTGCAGGCCCTCACCCATCCTTACCCCACCTCCGAATCCTAAAGTCCCAAATAAGGGGCGCCTGCTCATGTCACTGCAGCCCAGGCCCCAGTGACCTGGACAGTGAGGCAATTGTAGGTTGGGGTCTCATTCTGACAACTTGTGTGAATAGGTGTGGGAGAGTGTTACAGGCAGAGACACCGGTACGTGTAAGTGCTTGCAGGTGCGACACGGCGGGGAGTATTCGAGAATCCTGGACACCGTCTTACGTTTTCAGGGAACATAGAATGGTAGGAATCAAGCCTGGAATATTAGGCTGAGGAGTTTTACCTTCATTCTCTAGACGCTGTGCGCCGTGGAGGGTTTTGAACAGAAGAGGAACATGATCTGTATTATGCCTTTAAAAACTTTCCAAAAGGTGCTTATAGGAAGAACAAACTGTAAGAATTAAGATAAGAGTGAGGCACAGGGAGGTTCAATCCTTGTGCAAGGTGACACAGCTGCTAAGAGTCAGCACTGAGAAGTGAGACAGAGGTTAGGCGGTCATCCCGAGGTTACTGCTCCAGGGACCGGAGGTGTACAGGGATGCTTAAGCCCCTGGAGTCCTGCCATGGTAACCTGCCTGTCATGATCTCCCTCTTCCCACAGGTTCCTGTGACTGGAAAAGCGCTTATGGAACCTACACAGGTGAGTGGCGGGTGTCCCAGGCCTCATTGTTCCTGACCCCACCCATGTAGTCTTTGAGATCGTAGTGTCTTGGGACCCTTCACCTGCCACTCTTCTAGCTTTGGGCCTGGGGATCCTGAACAAACCCCAAGTTTGGGGTACTAAGTTTAGACCAGGGGTCATATAGAGTGGTTGATATTGTTACAGCCAATGGAATGAGGTGGGGAAGGTTGTCCCAGGCTTAGGTAACTGTATGTGCAAATGCTTGGAGGTGTTTTAATTTGACCCAAAGTGGATGTGTGGGTGTTGTGGATGGTCTCTCAGGTGCTGCATGAGGAAGTGTGACTCATGTAGGAAAGCTGGTGAACAAGTAGAATTTATTACTCACAGATTCCCACAGAGGAAACTACAGAATGCCTGACGAGGGGCCACACAGGGGGTAACACCTGGGGGCCAAGTAACAAGCTGGAACTGTAGGACAGGGCTAGCAGGGTGGGAACTCGGTTAGCCCATGGTTAAGTCTTATTGGTAAGTTTAAAAGTTTCTAGTGTATTAGTGCAGGAATATGGAGAAATTTTTATCACAGGGACTTATATAGGACATGGCAAGGAGTAACCACATTCTGTTGATGAGAGACTGGATTACAGGATATCAACAAGGTATCTATCACAGGAAAATGTATGGGCATAGGTAGGAGGACTAGTAAGAGACTCCAACTGTTGAGAGAATGTGTGACAAGATAGCAAGGGCCAAGTTGGAAAGTGGATGAAAGGGCAACTAGGAGGAATTAGGGGATGCCAAGGCAACAAATTATGTAGAGCACATATTGGGCTAAGACAGGAGGTGAAGTTGAGCTGCAGTGCTCAGGGAACCCAAGATTGCCCTTTTTTTTCTCATAGGAAGAGAGGGCAGGAAACAGGCTTGGAATGGTTTCCTGAGAAGTTGAGTGTCTATTCTGAAGGTGATGGGACCAGTGGGAGTTACGGAGCAGAGGAGGGAGGTGATCTGACCCAGGTATCATCAGGCTCCCTTTGGCTGCACTACAGAATGTGGGTGTGAGTGGAGTGGTAGGAAGACCAGGGAGGAGGCTACTGCAGTAGTCCAGGTGCATGTTGATGGTTGCTGGACCAGTGTGGAGGCCATGAAAATAGGAGAAATGGTTGGTGTCTTGATCTGATTTTTAAGTAGGGCTGCCTGGATTTTCTGATTTTGAGGGTGAGATGTAAGGTAGGACTCAGGGATGACCCCAAGCTTTTTGTCCATCAAGGGAGATAGAGAAGTTGGTAGTAGGAGTGACTTTTATTGGGAATCAAAACATTTGTTTTGGGCCACGTTAAGAGTATGAGTATGTCAGAATAATGAATTGAGGTATTAAGTCGATAGCTGGACAACAAATAACGGAACTTTGGAGAGAGATTCAGGATGGAGACATTTCCAAAGGTAGTGGCCAGTGTGTGGACCAGGATAGAGCTGTAGATCCTGTTTAGTAGGGAAAATCTGGTCATAGTGGTAGTACTGATAGCATGCCAGGAAGGGGAGGATGGAGGCTGAGGACCCAGCTGCTTGGATTCGTCTTTGTGTGTGGTGTGTGTCATAGACACAGGTGAGGGAGAGAAGTGGCCATGGGAAGGATATAGAAGAGAGGATGATCTGGCAGGTGGCTGTGACTTCCAAGGGATGAATGGTCATGAGATAGATGTGGTTTAATAGAGGCAAGATGACAGGCCAGGGTTGATGCTTATTCACTGTGCTATGGGTGCACCAGAATTTTGTTGTGACCCTTGTGGCCTGGTGTGTTTTAGTGTTGTGGATTAGCTCTGGGCCACAAGTGGTCATTTGGAAGGGCCTGGGTTCGAGGACCACTGATAGCTGGCTTTGATGATTAGGTGGAGAGGAAGGCTGTGACTTGTGTGGGGCGGCAAGTACAGCACAAGCGAAAGAGGACCAAGGGTATCTGAGATCCACATGTGGTTCCAAGTGACTGAATTCAAAGCAAGGAACAAAGGCAGTTAGGCCTTCACAGCAGTATTCGGGGCTGCCTCTGTCAGTAGGGACTCCTAGAGGTCTGGGGTAGTACTGAATTCTGTTTGAATTTGCCAAACACTCTCTGGATGCTATGTGCGCAATAACTTGTGGGGAGTCCAGGGAGATGTTATAGTGGGGGGCAGGGAGGGGAAGAAGGCTGTTGGAGTGCAAAGTGGGAGAGAATGTGGGAAAATATGTGGTGTGGAAATGGAGAGGAGTGTGAAATGATGGCCCCAGGGCCCAATTTTGGGGACCTAAGGGTGAAGGGTCAGCCCATATTTGGTTGTGTCTGGGAGGCATCATCTGGGATACCCGAGGGTATGCCCAGTAAGAGCATAGCTTGGATTAGCTCTGGGCCATAAATGGTCATTTGGGAGGGCCTGGGCACGTGTTCCTGCATGTCAGGCCTAGAGCATTGATCTTGTCTATCTGCCTTCCTGCCTCTTGGTGCTGTCTGCTGGTAACAGTCAATGGGATCATGAGGAGAGAGTGGGCATCAGTGGCACCAAGACCTAGTATCCCTTCTTAGGTGTGAACTAGGGAGAAGAATGAGAGGAAGACAGGTGTGTGGAGTGATAAATTTGGGGTCCTGAGGAGAGAAGCTAATCATGGAGTGAACTGTTGTCCCTGTCATGGCAGGGCAGTGTGAACTTTGAGGACGTGGCTGTGTACTTCTCCCAGGAGGAGTGGGGGCTGCTTGATGAGGCTCAGAAGCTCCTGTTCTGCGATGTGATGCTGGAGAACTTTGCAATCATAGCCTCCCTCGGTAAGACCCTCAACACCCACCCAAGTGTCCTGAGCTTGTCTCTGCCTTTCGTCTTTTCCCCAGAGACTTATCTGTCCTACAGCCAGACCACAGGCTCTGCTACCTTCCGTACTTTCATGGCGTATTGTCTTAGTTATCTAGTGCTGCTGTAACAGAAATACCACAAGTGGGTGTCTTTAACAACACACATTTTCTCACAGTTTAGGAGGCTGTAAGTCTGAATTTGGAGTGTTGGCTCTAGAGGAAGGCTTTCTCTTTCTGCTGGCTCTGAAGGAAGGTCCTTGTCTCTTTGAGCTTCTGCTCCTGGGCAGTCTTCGTATGACTTGGCGTCACTATTCCCCCATCTCTGCTCTGCTTCTTGTTTAATGTCTTTTATATCTCAAAAGAGATTGACTCAAGATACACCCTATACTAAGCCTGCTTCATTGACATGACAAAGATAACCCATTCGCAAATGGGATTATAACCACAGGCATAAAGGTTAGGATTTACAACACATATTTTGGGGGTCAAAATTCTGTAATATTCCACCCTTTCCCCCCCCAAAGTTTATGTCCTTGCCACGTGTACAGCATTCACCTCAGCACATCATTCCAAAATTCTTAAATCCATACCCAGTCCAAAATCTCATTTTCTGAATCATCTAAATCAAATATGGGTGAGATTTTAGGCGTATTCTATTCTGGGCCAAAATTCCTCTTCATCTGTGAACCTGTGAAATCTAGATTATAAGTTATCTGTTTCGAAAGTACAGTGGTGAAACAGGCACAGGGTAGACGTTTCCATTACAGTTGGGAGAAAGTGGAGGGAAAGAAGGGATATTGGGCATCAAGGAAGTCCAAAACCCAGCAGAACAATTTACATTACCTCTCAAGGCTTAAAAATAATCCTCTCTTCTCTGAGACCAGTTTGGCAATGGCCCTACTGTCCAGATGCTGGGTGTTGGCCATGCTCTCTGTTTTCTGGGTGGAGGCCCCTTGGCCCTGGGCTTCAGCTCTGCCTTCCAGGCCTAGTAGGATGGGATCTCTGCTTCCTTGGCTTTGGGCAACCCCATTCTCCTAGTCCATCTGAGTGGTGACCCCATTCTCTCAGCCACAGCAGGTCCTATTCTTCTGCTCCGTGGGCATGGCAGCCCCATCCCTCTGCTTTGGGCAGCAGTCCCATCCCCTTGGCACACCTTAACGGCAACCTTACACTCTGGAACCGAGTTGGTGGAACCGAGCTAGCAAATATCTGACTCTGAAACCTAGCAGGCTGTGGCTCCACTCTTTGAGATCCTGGGTACTGTGGCCCTACCCTTTGAAACCCCAGAGGCCATGGCCCCACCCTTTGAGACCCAGGCAACTCTGTTTCCCATTCTTTTTCCAACAGTTCTGCAGATCTCTGAGCTGCTCCAGGGATGATCTTTTTCGTGGAGGACAAGAGATTTAGCTCCTTTGGCCTGTTTCCTGCCTGTAGAATTCCAAGAGACAGACAGCATTCTTTGCATTTGTTCTTTGTCCCTTTCAGTCGAAGCTGATGGGTTTTCCTCTGTGGTAGTTGGTTATCAGTCACAGGCTTAATCTCTTTAAAAAAAGATTGCGTAGCCACGTCCTTAGTGAACATTCTATGACACGTGTCCTTAGTTTGTACAACAAAATTTTCCAAATCTTTAAGTTCTGTTTTAATTTTGCACAGTTCATTTTTAAGTCCATCTCTTTCCTCTTGCATTTTACTATAAGGATTAAGGTGAAACCATGCAACTTCCGTAAGATCTAGCTTAGAAATCTCATCAGCCTGATATCCAAGTTCATCACTTACAAGTTCTACCTTCCACCAAAAATTTAAACATACCAGACAAGTTCTTTGCCAGTGTGTAAAAAGCATTGCCCTTCCTCGATTGTCCAATCACATGTTCTTCATTTTCTTTTAAAGCCTCACCAGAAGCACATTTAGCGTCCCCATTTCTAGGAACATCCTGTTTCTGGCGCCATATGTATTCTCTAAGGCAGTAGAGACTTTCTCTGTAGCTCTGCTCACTTCCTTCTGAGCCCTCACCAGAATTGCCTTCAGCATCCATAACTGCCAACTGTTTCTTCGAGGCAATCTAAGCTTTTACTATTAGGCACGTTAAAACTCTTCCAGCCTCTACCCATTACCCAATTACAAAATTGCTTCCACATTTTAGGTATCTGTTAGAGCAGCATCCCACTATTCTGGTACCAAATTCTGCCATAGTTATCTAGTGCTGCTGTAACAGAAATACCATAAGTAGGTGGCTTTAACAAACAGACATTTGTTTTCTCACAGTTCAGGAGGCTACAAGTCCGAATTCTAGGGGTAGACTTTCTCTGCTGGCTCTGGTGGAAAGTTCTTGTCTCTTTGAGCTTCTGCTTCTGGGCAGTCTTCATGTGGCTTGACATCTCTCTGCCCCCCTCTGCTCCCTTGTTTAATCTCTTGTATATCTCAAAAGAAATTGACTCTAGATACACCCTACACTAATCCTTCCTCATTAACATAACAAGACAACCCATTTCCAAATGAGATTATAACTACGGGCATAGAGGTTAGAATTTACAATTTATATTTTTGGAGAACATAATTCAATCCGTAACACAAAAGTTCTGTGAGTGCCAGGGCTGAGCTGTGTGCACTGTTCTAAGCAGTGTATTCTGTAAGTAGCCTTAGCACCTGCTGCTCAAAGTATGCAGAGAAAGGTCTGGGAGTCTGGAAATTTACAGTCAGACTTAATGGAACTCACCTTTGTCAGGGTGACTGTGTCTGGATTCATGGCACTTCTGTGCTCAGGTTCTGCCTCTTCAGCTGACATTTCCTCATAGTTGCCTGTGACAGGAATTGCAGGCATTGTCATGGTCACTACTAGACGTAAGGTCCTCCTGAAGGTTGTTGGTAGAGAAGCGAGTCGGAGACCCTGCCTCTTCTTCCTGTGCTTCACCCTGTCTTAGTGTCCTTTAATCTCAGAGACCCGGTACTACACAGAAGCTCATTCCAAAAGCTGCCACCAGCTCCCTTGTTCTCAGAACAGTTTCATGGACTCCTCCTTGTTGTGTTTGTCGTTCATTTATGGTGGTACTCCCTTTTTGCAAGAAAGACAACTTGCATTTCATCAGCGTTTCTGTGCTTTCAGGTTCTTGGCATGGAACAGAGGATGAGGAGACATCTTCTAAGCAGAATGTTTCTGTAGAAATACAGGTCAGGACATCAAACGCAGGTTCATCCACTCAGAACACTCACCCCTGGGAGATGGGGGTCCCATTCTTGGAAGATATTTTGCATATGACTAAGCAAGCAACACACCCAGGGCAGAATTCATGCTTGGGTGGGGCTTGTGTGAGATGCTTCTGGATGAGAGCAAGTCTTCACCAGCACCAGAATTGTCACAGTGGAGTGAACCCCTTCAAAAAAGATATGGACGGGGCCTCATTTAGGAAAAGGTGCAGATTCCATGTGTCAGGGATGCCTCTTTCCTGTGAGGAAATTGGGAAAGACTTGCCGGCAACTTTGAGCCTTCTGCAGTACCAGTCCACTCTTAAGAGTGAAAACCCACCCAGCAACCTTGAGTGTGGGGAGGCCTTTCACAGTGGAAAAACACTTTGCAAGTGGAATAAATGCGGGAAATCTCCCAGCCACAAACACACACTTGTTCACCACGAGAGCGTCTGCACTGGAGAGGGGCTTTATGAGGATAGCAAGTGTGAGAAAGACTTCAGCTGCAGGTATAGACTTGTTCAGCACCAGGGAGTTCACACTGGCCAAAGGCCGTATGAGTGTAGTGAATGTGGAAAATCCTTTAGATACAAATGTTTACTCATTTACCATCAGAGAGTTCATACTGGAGAAAGACCTTATAAGTGTGAGGAATGTGGGAAATCCTTTAGAGATTCCTCAACCCTAATTCAACATCAGAAAATTCACACTGGAGAAAGGCCTTATGAGTGCAGCGAATGTGGGAAATGCTTTAACCGTAGATCCGACCTTAATAAACACCAGAGAAGTCACACTGGAGAAAGGCCTTATGAGTGCAGCGAATGTGGGAAATTCTTTGGCCGTCACTCCCTCCTTCATAAGCATAAGAGAATTCACTCTACGGCTACACCATATGAGTGCAGCAAATGTGGAAAGTTCTTTAGCTATTGCTCCTACCTGAATAATCACAGGAGGATTCACGCAGGAACAGAGCTATATGAGTGTTGTGAATGTGGAAAATCCTTTAGCCAAGGGTCCAGCCTCATTCAACATCAGAAAATTCACATTAGAGCTATGGCATATGAGTGTGGTGAATGTGGGAAATCTTTTAGCCGCAAATCTTTACTCATTTACCACCAGAGAGTTCACACTGGAGAAAGACCTTATCAGTGTGTGGAATGTGAAAAATCATTTCGCCATCGTTCAGCCTTCATTCGACATTGGAAAATTCACACTGGTGAAAGGCCTTATGAGTGCATCGAGTGTGGGAAATTGTTTAGCCGTAGCTCCCACCTTAATAAACACAAGAGAATTCACACTGGAGAAAAGGCTTTGAGTGTAGCGAAAGTGGGGAATCCTTTTTCTACAAATACAGCCTCATTTGACTCCAGAGTTCACATAGGAACAAAGGCTTACGAATGTGGAGAATGGGAAATCCTCTAGGCAAAGGTGAAACTTCATTCAACACCAGAGAATTCACATAGAAGCCAGGCCTGATGAGTGTGACAAATTGAAAAATCTTACAGCTTTGATCAAAATGTTCAGTAACGGTATTTGCACACTATCAGTTCTTTTGGTCTAATGACAAGATAGTTGTTCGTGGAGGCAATTAGCCACATTCCATTTCCTCCTATTCCTGACTTTCCTTCTGTTGCTCCAGACAGATAGAGACCAGTTGTGCCTTGAATGGGTGCTTGCAAACCTTTAAGACCCTAGACAATATGCAGCAAACTAGGAGGTAGAACAGAAGCACTAAACATGTTATGCCAATTAATTGGGATGTCTTAGGAAACCATGACCCTAAACCCAAACCAAGGAACCAAATCCCGTGAGGTTTTTGGTTGTACATAAGCAACCTCAGCAG